CCTGTTGATGACGTCAGCGACGCGGTTTAATCGGGCGCGGCTTAGTCGAGCGCGGTTTTGACGGGTCACGTTGAAAACCTTCCCCATAATTATGTCTGTTGATCTATACTCACAGCAAATCGTTCAGGGCCTAGAAGAGAAGAAAAAGATAGACTTTCTTTAAAGTGTGTGTTCTGATTGTGTTTATTTAAATATTTTTTTGCAGGTCACGGAAGAAACCAGTAACATCTTACAAACATTGGGGTACATTTGTACCTGCCGAGGTGTCATTAACGTCAAAGGGAAGGGAGAGCTCCAGACCTTCTTTGTACATACTGAAATGACTAAATCCCTTTCCCAGGGGAATGTGGCATCATGAAATATATCAAGGGTAGACAGTCTCATATTTTTAGAGAAAATGCACCCCACACTTGTTTCTTAAATCTCCTCTAGCCCACACCATGAACAACATGTGTGTATTTTTCTGGTGTGTAGAAATGTTGCTGTAGTCGTGTCTACAGTCTCATCCCACCACTCACCACCAAGAGACCTCGGTAGTTGTCAAGATTCCAGAAATGGCCAATGCGAGTGCTGTGCACTGAGATAATGACAGCTTGATTTATATTCTTGACTCTCTCCAGTGGTTAAAAAAAAAATTGAGGGAAATAAACAGAGTTGTAAAAATTAATGGCCTGATGCAGGAGGAGGCTATGAAGACAATAATTTAAAAAAATAATAATATAGAAAAGCACTTGACGGCAATAAAATTAGAGCTGCATGAAACATCGTGGAAAATATGGTAGCTCCATGTAACATCCTCTAATCCTGAATTATATAATTCTGAATATCTTAATTCTATCCCTTCATCATTACAACTTGGGTGTGTTCACTAGTTGTGTCTCACAGCCAACAACATAAAATAGAGCTTCAGGCTTGATAGTTTCCCCAGAGGAATTCATAGACAAGCAGGACCAGTTTTGTATAAAATGTGTTTTGATGCCCTTGTCTTTTGTAATATAAACTCATTAAAGGTTTCTATGTACTTTATTTGCGATTGTGAGTTTGTTACGCCTGTTACGTGTCGTCAGTGAGCTTTCTGACACAAAGACAAAAACCCAAACTCTTCTGCCAGAAATATATGATTTAAATATCTTCAAAGTCAAAAGTGGTAAAGCCATAGAAGCAGGGGATAAATATTAACAAAGTAATAATGTATTTATTTGTTTTATTTTATAGCCGTTTTGTACGTATGAATTCCCCTTAGTGCTACGTAACACAATGTTGCCATTGAAAGTATGAAAAATGAGAGGCAGTCAGTAACTTCTTCCTAACTTTGTTGTGGATATAGAAAGTAGAGCAATTACTGTAACAGTTTACCTACTCATCATTAATATCCCACTAGTGATCATAAAAAGAAAAAGCTGAACCTACAAAGAGGAAGTCTGAATTAATGCCAAGCTTTTAACAGCTTATTTATCCTCGATAGGCAAATGCTGAAAGTATATTTTATGCAAAACTATTGCTATAAGTAATTGTTCTGAACCCCCTCTTCATACACCAAAGCACTCAAAGACAAAGATACTTCAAGGATTTATTAACACACAGACTAGACCTTGACAGCAATCCAGCACAGACTGACCTTGGCAGCAATCCAGCCTGCCAAGATAGCCACGATAGCTTCTCCAGCTCTAGTAAATACGTTGATTCCTGCGACGAGCTTGTGAAAAGCCATTCCTTTTATAGTCTTGAGAGGAGCCTAATTACCACCAACTGAGTCCAATTATCTCCTGTAACTGCGTAACTGTCCTCCGTTGCCGGGCATCCAGGACCAACTCCCTTATCTCCTCCCCACTGCTCC